CTTAATAGAATTAGGCGTTACTTTGCGAAAAACCACTATATTAAAGATGCTTAAAACTAATTTGGCTAAAATCTGAGTAAGGAAATAAAATAAAAATGATGTAACTTATCACAGTCTCAAAGTTTTTTATTATTTAAGCGGATCTTAACTAATTCATTTCTATTATCTGTATATCTTATATCTCTCCATATATCTCTAATAAAAAACACAATCGAATTGAAAACCTCTTTTAGTTGAAATCAGTCAAAAGAAAAAGGTAAAATGTATTCAAAATATAATTTAAATATTTAGAATAGAATAAAAGAGAATAATGTTTATTCAATATAGATTACAATAATATTTATTGAAAGTCATTTTTTACTTTTACCACTGGTTCGCAAAAAACCGTCAAGAAACCCAGCGCTGTGGACATGTCGTATTTTTATGTCCTATTCAACATGAAACTGCTACTTTTTTTCTGAAGACTCTACTAGTCTCGAAACCACTCTAGCTAAATGGTCCTTTGAACCGAGTTTTTTTTTTTAATAAAATAAGGGTGACAAGCCCACGTGATGGTAAGTGGTTGCTGTGGCCCATAGACATCTACATCTATTCCCGTTCGCGAATCAAAATGCAGATGCGTTGTCACCCGTGAGGACTAAGATGGAATGCCTCTTTTCCAGTAAAAAGGGTATCCGGTTCTCTACACTCACGATACGAAACACAGCAGCGTTAAGCTGCTATTTTACGCTCGTATTCTTTGAGAGTGTGATCCTTCCCCGGTCGAGCCGACCTATTTGTGCTACAAATATACAATTAATATAACTGCAGCATGGCTCTAACGCGTTTGATTATTATGATACTGAAATTGGCGACCAATGGATGGTGGCATTATTTAAAACTTCTATATGCGTGGTAGAGCCATATTTTCGTTCGTATGGGGGTATAGAGAACCGGAGACCCTTTTTACTGGATACACGAGCACACAGCCCACCTGATGGTAAATGGATGCTGTTACCCATACATATCTACATCTACCCTCGATTAAGAATCACAATGCAGATACGTTGTCACACTTGGGGACTAAGATGGAATGCCTCGTTTCCAGTAAAAAGGGTATCCGGTTCTCTACACTCACCATACGAAACACTGCAGCGTTAAGCTGCTATTTTACGCTGTTTTTCTATAAGGTCGTGGTCCTTCCCCGGTCTAGCCGACCCAATCGTTCTACAACTATAATATAGCTGCAGCATGACTCTACCACGTATAAGATATAACTTTTTCCTCTTTACTATTTTTGTTTTACTTAAATTTATTAAGCTGACCTTATTTCCCTTTTTATATGAAAAATAGTTGATACCTATTTATAATTTTTTTTATAGCACAATGTATTAAATTATTGATAAAATTACAATATTTTTCCAACAAACATTTCTACGAATGTAAACCTTACATTTTAGCATCTAACATAACATAACATAAACACTCACGCCTGTCACCCAGAGGGGTAGGCAGAGATTATGGACTTCCATTTGGCACGACCCTGACACACCTCTCTCGCTTCCTCCACATCCATATACCTACGCATACACGCTCGTCGGTTAAAGGTACTCTTGATTTGGCCCATTTTTAATATATCGCCAATTTGGTCGATAAACTTTCGCCTAGGGCGACCCTTCCCGACTATGCCGTTCACCTCTGCAACATAAATTTGCTTTGTCACTCTTTCCTCATTCATTCTTTCTACATGGCCAAACCACCGAAGCATTCCTTTCTTAATCCTGGTCACAACATCATCTTGCAAACCACACTCTTCTCTTATTAAACAATTTCTCACTCTGTCATTCAGCTTCATCCCTAACATACTCCTTAATGACCGCATTTCTACAGCATTTATTCTACTCTCATGCTTCTTCTGCCACACCCAACTTTCACTACCATACATTAAAGTAGGTACTAACACAGCATTGTGAATTGCCATACGTGCCTTTTTGGACACATTCTGACTTTTCACAGTAGAGTGTAGAGCCCCATTCACTCTATTTCCTGCATTCACTCGTCGTTCTATATCCTTATCATATCTACCATCCCTGCTAAACACACATCCCAAATATACAAACTCATCTACTTGCTCTACCAACTCCCCTTCTATTCTTATTTCACATATCGTTTTACTTTCTTCTCTTTCAAAAACCATAACTTTCGTCTTACTTGCGTTCACTTTTTTAAAATGTTAGCATCTCTCATTTAGAAATATTTAACTGCAAAACATATCATTGTGAGATTACTTAATATTAATATGATGTTATTTACACATGACATTTTTTAAGTACAGACTTTGAACTTTTAAGTAATACTTAATACATTCGTTTTTTTTTTCAATTTCTTCCTAAACATTCTTAAAATAAATTGGACAAGAAGTTTGCTGCATAATTCCTTATTATAAAAAATATATAATATCCGCGCTTCAGTTTATATAAAGTTATGTTCATATTAAATTAAACATCATTTATTCATAAGTCGCTACAGGATACATCCTAATAAGCACTCAAAGGCCCTCAGACGTCTGATTTATAACGGACTCGGAATAAAATCAATGCTAGCTACTGAACACCCACATACACAAACACACACACAGAGATCAATAGCATTATATACTTCCAAAGTTCGAGTATGTACGTTCGGATACACAACATAAAAACGGTCCGTGCAATAAACCAGACGGCACGTGTCATATCAAAGGTACGCAGCGCAGGTGGACTATCGCATATCACAATGAATATCTTACGTCCCCTTACAATGCACCATTTAGGCGCATCCACCTGAATAATCCGATGGGGCATGAACAATTATCTTGTATTATTAAGTTTTTTTCATTGTAACACACGACTGAAACGTCGCATGGATTTTAAACCTAATTAACGAGAGCGAAGGTGTACTTTGTACCATTGGATACGTATCGTTTAAACAGGTGGGAGATAATCAGAGATATGAGACGTCAAGGGGTGAGATTTTTGATGTATTATTGTAATTGAACTATCTATAAAGGGCTTCTGGAGGAGCTGAGCCTCTATTTGTAATGTAATATCTCTTAATAATGAACACGATTGGTCTCCCTCCTCCTCCCTAAAAATGGTGCGCTGCGCTCTCATAGTTTACCTTTGATAAACAAAATTGAGATAATTCAGCAAAAACAAGCTTTAAATTATTATTTCGTACGAATATTGTGCAAATATAGGCTCAAATTATTATTTCTAAATATCGCTTGAGGATGACGGTAAACTCTAAGCAAAAGTGGTAACATTTTGATATTCATAAAGTAAGAAAATTCATAAAGTAAGAAATATTTCTAAAAAAAAACTTCTTTGTAGAAATATTTGTCAATCTTGCTTGCCTTAAAATTTTATAGTACCTACGCGGGCAAGCAGGGTTCGATACTAGCCGGCTTCCCCGAAATTGAATTGCAATTTCAAGTGCTTTTTTATCACGTGCTTTATAACGGTCAAGGTTTTAGAAATTTTAAATATTTCTCTTTATTATGTGTCTCGGACACGTGAAGTCCGCCAAAGCGTATCGGAGGCGGCGGATTCTTCCTGCATTTAACCTGCTCAGATGTAAGAGGCCTGTGTCCAGCATCGAGACGTATGAAGAATGTTACAACAAGGGGTTAAATTAATAATATTGTACAACCGACTTCAATATAAATTATTAAGAATAACTCAAAAACTATTAGTCAGACCTTGATCAAATTTATATGAGACCACATGTGAAGCACCAGTTTTCAAATAAAAAAAGAATCATCGAAATCGGTCCACCCAGTAAAAAGTTAAGAGGTAACACACATTAAAAAAACATACAGTCTAATTGAGTACCGGCTCCTTTTTGAAGTCGGTAGATAAAATGAGAACATCATCAATATGGTCGAAGTCAATTAAATACGCATTATTAATGATAACTCAAAAACTACTGGTCAGATCTTTATAAAATTTATATGGGACCACATGAGATGCACCAGCATTAAAATAAAAATAGAAACATCAAAATGGGTTTACCTAGAAAAAAGTTCGGAGGTGACACATAAAAATCTTTTTTTTAAGTCGGTTAAAATATTAAAAGCATACGTGCTATGGCGAATATCCACACTATGAGGCAATATATGGGGGAGACATCGTTTTACACCGAACTACACGTAATTTATAAGAGTACATTAGCGTTATTACGGTTTAGTACATACAAAAATTTTTACGTGGTAGTGCCATGCTGCAGCTATATTAGTAGTATAGTTGTAGCAGGAACGGGTCGGCTCGGCCGGGGAAGGACCACGCTCTCACAGAATACCAGCGTAAAATAGCAGCTTAACACTGCTGTGTTTCGTATCGTGAGTGTAGAGAACCGGAGACCCGTTTTACTGGAAAAGAGGCATTCCATCTTAGTCCTCACGGGTGACAACGCATCTGCATTTTGATTCGCAAACGAGGTTAAATGTAGATGTCTATGGGCCACAGTAACCACTTACCATCAGGTGGACTGTGTGCTCGTTTGTCACCCTATCCTATAAAAAAAACGTGTAATGGATGCCATATACGATTCAGTTTACCGTCAAGTTTGCAGCGCGCTTGAAGCGGCGTCCGGTATACTTGACGGTGTATAGCTATCAGTGTGCATGACAAGCCTACTTGAAGCAAAAATTGAATTTCTATTCTGGCGACTTGATCAAGCTTGCAGCGTCAAGTAAACTTGAACGTGTGTATGAGCGGTCAAGTATGCGTGAAGGTAATCGGAGCAAATAAGCGAGAGACGCCGGCTATTGCCTATTCAGCAATAGCTTTCGCTTCTAGCAAGTCTCGGCTGATGCTAAATAAACGCTTAATAAATTTTAAAATAATCAAAAACTGGTCTTTTATAAGTAAATTTCTTTCCTTTATATATTCTGCAATATTTAATTTTATTATTTCTTAAATAAACGTTAAAACTAGTAGCAAGAACTTCACCATGTTACATAAATAAGGCCCGGTACTCACTAGCAACTGTGATAAAGGTGTGCTGGGCGTCAGTGGTGGGGCTGGAGTGACCCGAGCTGTCCCCGTTCACCTCCACCACCGTGTTTGGCACCTGAGAAAATTTTCGTTAGCTGTTAAATAACACTGATTCATTTCAGATTTCTTCTCTACTTGGCGACTTCTTCGGTATCTTTTTTCTGTTGTTATTCATTCATGTAATACAAGAGATACGGGCATCGAAAATCTTTTAACATACAAAATTGTGACGGTTAAATTTTAATCAACATTTGCTTTAAGTTCTTTAATGAGGCCCTGGTTCTCAGATACACAAAGATGTAGTTTTTATAAGTTTCACGAACGCATATCCTACCTGCTGTATAGTATGCTGCAGGTGTATGGAGTTCGGTAGCTCCGGGATGACAATGAGCTCCCGCACAGTAGTAGTCGGTGACGTGTTTTCAGCCCCCGTGGCGGCGCCCTACAACATAGTTACAAGTGGTTGGTTCCATTGCTTTTTGCATTGCCTTTTTTCGTCATCGGGTGGACCTCACGATTTGTTCCAAAGTATCCTTAATAAACTCATATCTGTGGTGGTCTACAATTGTGAACTATATTTCCTATCCGGTTGCAGCCAGCCGCTTTGGGTTAGTTGTCGAGACCTATTTTACAGGAAGAGGCGTTCTATCTTAGTCCTCACGGCTGACAACGCATCTGCATTTTAATTCGCAAACGAAGATAGATGTAGATGTGTATGGGCCACAGCAGCCACATGCCATCGGGTGGACTGTGTGCTCGTTTGTCACCCTAATTGTATTAAAAAAAAAAGCTTAGTTTTCTATTGCATTTAATTTAGTAGACAATTTTTGTGCATCTGTAAGAGTAAGCCAAAGTTAAATCTAATTTCCAACTAATTTTACTGACTGGAGAATCTGAGTTGCACTTCACTTTGCTTTTATAATATCTTCAAAAGCTATAACTTAATCTGATATTTCTTCAATTTGTCAAAAAAATGTGGTGGAGCTAAAGAATCGCCTGACTCATCTCGTGGATATCGTAAGAAACAATTAGATCGCCCCAGCTTTTTTATAGTCTATAGCTGACAAATTTACTTCTATGCTATCTATATATCTATATGCTATGATATACGTAACAGGAAGAGTAGCGCTTTGTTTACTGAACCGCACATCCGGCATAGAGCACTCACAATGCGGGATTGTTGCCGGTCTGTCATCGAGAGTCGAGTTGAACGCAAAAAGGGAGCCTAAAATGTCGGCTTGTTCCTTTGCAGAGTGAGCCAGCGAGTCGTCCTTCCTGTGCAGATATAGAAGTCTACCCGCATGATCGGTTGAACGAGAACCCAGCCATTCAACCGTAGTGGGTGTTAAATTCGCAAAGGGTTAGGATCTCTGCGGATTGGATCCAATGTAGCCTACGGAATCTGTAGCCGATGAGTCGGTCTATAAGACACCCGGGAACGTGTGGATCGTCGTCGCTGTTCACGCGCAGCGAAAGGATGGATAGGTCCGTACTTTCAAGACTGTCGTGGAGAACAGATATCCTCCCTGAAGTAAACGTAAACTACGGTCCGTGACACAAAATAGTGATACCATTTGTACCACGGCTAGAAAAGATACGACGTATTAGCTGGTGAGGACACCTGCGTCTTGGTCAGAAAAAGCAAGGTCGGTGGACACAAGTGTCCAAGCTCAGGAAGAGTAGGGTAACCTTAGCGTGGATGTTCTGAGTGATTACCAGATGTACTGGTACCCTCTGGGTTCTCTTATTAAATAGAGGAGGCCAAACACAGAAGCAAAACTTCTACTTCACTCTGCTGTTCTGTGATTTGGTTAAAAAAGCTTACTAAAAATAGATCAATATATTTTAAACAATGATGTGTGGAAATAACTCTCACTCTGCATTTGCAAGTACCCTGGCTACTGATATATTGTTTTGTTAAAAATAACATTAAAAAAATATTTATTGACCTTTGACATTGTAAAAGTTTTAAATACTGTAAATGTAATTGTAACATAATTTTAAAGAAAAAGACGTTTTGACGTTTTTGACTTTCTCACTCAGTCAAATCGTGTTGACTGAGTGAGAAAATCAAAAACGTCAAAAACGTCTTTTGGAATACCAGGGTGAAATGGCCATATACTATAATACCCATATCCAATCACTAATGTATATATGTTTTTATAGTAAAAATACCTGATGAGTTGTAATAAAATATTTGTCATCTACAGTTTACCAGACCTGCGCGGGAGCAGCGAGGCGCGCCGCCATGTCGGGCGAGGCGGGCGGTGAGGACTCCACCAGGACTTCGTCACCGGCACACTCGAAATCTGTGAAGCAACGTCGCTTGAAATTCTTTTATATCTTCACGTCATACAGATCTATGTGACAACTAGCTAAAAGTCCAATTGATTGTAAGTGGCAATCCACTTCAAACAAGGAAAGCCATAGATGTAATTCCAACATGGTGGCTAAGATGAGTAGATGAAAGCACACTGTCTGTCCTCACACCACCGAGACACAGTGTGGTGTTGGTCTGTTCTACACAGATGGTCTCCTGGGCTTGTGCCCAGGATAGGCTTTGATAGGCTTATGTTGTCATAAGCCTATCAAAATTCACTGCTGAATGTAAGCCTCTCCACAGACTACCTCTTAAAGAGGGATATTTCCCATAGTTGCCATGCTTGCAAGCAACTTGTAAACTGCAGTTTTTATTTTCATGTTGTTAGGAAGATGCTGCTGTCCACCTCTTGGTTTGTTTCCCTCTGATGCCTCTTACTGTGTGTTTTAACGTGTACATGACGATATGGGGTAAGGATTTCTTACACCGCCACTACATAGTAACTTACCATCATAGAACAAAGATTTGCTTCAACAATATTTTAGTATACAAGGATATTTTAATTCTGGTATATGACTTAAAACTTTTGAATAATTTCACCTTGAGAATATTGCGAAACATATTCACTTAAATTAGTGATTATATGATACAAAAAACAAAGAAAATTCTTAAAATTAAATTACATCCTTAAAGTACTTTAGCCTATAAAAAACTAAATCCTTTTCAGAACATTTTGTCAAATTTTAATTGATTGATGTTCAATATAATACATAACTTATCAAAATAATTATGTAATATTTTGTATTTCCATTTAAATATTAGAAAAAAAAATTCTAATAGCTTTTTAAAAAGTTGCAAATAAAAAATAATGAATGAATATAAACTAAAAACAATTATTGCATGACACTATCCCGGGTGATAGAGATGTTATTGATCTGTGCGGAGCTCGGGCGGCTGGGAGTATCTGGGGAGTAACCCGGCAACACCTCATCCCTCCGCACCTTCACTCTCAATTGAAGCTACAACATAGAATCAACACCACTCACTTTCTAAGTAAAACACATTCTCAAATCCCATCTCAGACATTTTCACTATAATATAAATTAAACTTCAACACCAAACACCGACTTCACACAACAATAATACATTATTGTTTGCTCACTGATGTACACTGACTGGTATTGATCAAACTGTTACTATGATACGGATTACTGTGTATCTGGTCTTGTCTAGTTATGCTTTTTGACTGGGAGCTAAAGTGAGTGGTGTGTTAGCTATGTGTTAGTGGGGGAGGGCAGGTGGTTTGTCACGCTTCAGTTACCACACCTGCTCTTAGTGTGCAATATGCTTCACTGAACAACATTACCCCAGTGTTATTGATAACATAGTAAGCTATTTTAGATATTTGTATATTATTACTTTAGACGATATATTTTTTGTGTTCTAACTTACAACTAGTAAAAAATTGTGTAGCTTCTATTATTTTTGTAATTGTTGTATCTTTACGGATGGTAAGGATAAAACTTTTGTGATAAAGCCAAATGTATTTTGCTTAAAAATAAATTTCTGTCTAACAAAAAACTCAAAGACAACATCTCTCTAAAACATAATTAATTTTAGCCATAATCTCTAACAAGGAAACAAGCTACATAGACAATAATAACTACAAACTCTTATGAAGTAAGTACAAGTACAATGGACAACAAACACTTTATATATGTATGAAAATGATAGGTATGTAAAAAATATAATAATAAAATAAATCATATATTGGTTATTTTTTATTTACTAAAATATAATTTATGATTAATTAATTTACTTAATTCAATTTAAGTTTTAGTTTTTCTTTAATATAGTCTTTTAATATTGTGTGTTAACCTTTTAGTTAGATTTAATTTTATGATAAAAGTTAAATTTTAAAGTTTAAGGGACATTGGGTATTAAAACAAAGACAACCATAACAAAAATTGTGTTTTCATCCCTCTGATCTTTTTATAAAGTTTTTAATAATAATTATGATTTATTTTCCTATGTAAGAAATTAAAAAGGCCCGCCGTACGGCTTTGCCGTGTCAGGCACCGTTGTCCCGACCCTCCGACGATGATAAAATTGATACATAATGCTTTAAAGGACACAAACAGGCGACGTAGGGGAACCAGGAGTACGCCTGTCGCTCATTCAGACGAACGTTTGATAATCTCTAAACTTATCTACATACTATTGCGATTATTGTAATATATTACCTTGTTTTCTCTCGGGATTAAAACGCATTAATAATATGACAATCTGCCAGCCAGTCTGTCAATTTTTTATTATATTATGAACACCTTAATTTAAAAAGTTTTATTTAACAGTTAACAATGCAATATGCAGAAATAATTTCAGCAATTTTATGTAACTCGATAGCCAGTGTTGTTGTCTGTAGCTACACCCGTTTCCTAGGCTACGGATCCGGGCTAGTCTGAAACTGAAAACTCAAGACTTTGACGGTAGCCAATAGGTGGCACTATAAGATTAATTATGACATCTGTGTGTAGACTCTGTGATCTGTGGTAAAAGTACCTAGTGACTAGTGATTTGATTACCTTTACTCTGATGTGTGGATGGTGATTCTGTGCTTTGTATAATGTTCAAACTAATAAGAAGTGCTAGCGCAGTATAATGTATCTTATTATTTTAAGTGGCAAGATCATTCAGAACCAAGGAGCAAGTTAAATATTCAAAAAAATAAAATAATTCAACGTACAAAGTGGTAGATGGAGGATAAATTTCATCAAAATGTTTTGTTAAGATTTATATATTTTCTTTTTTGGTTCACTGTGCTATTTTCTCGTAATAAATTATGGGTATCGATCTAAGTGCTACTAACATTACAGTATGATTATATTTATAAACTTTTATTAATTAAATAAAAAAATATGTAATAGCACTAATTTTATTTAACTAGCTACCTTTTTATTAGTTTGTTCTAGCTACTAAATAAAACCTAATATATGATCTGAGGTAAATAATTTTATACTCTTTGCTGCCTACCTTCATCATTTTCAAAGATGATTATTGGATTTTTGAAACTTTTAAAAGATATTTCGTTTTCCATTAGATTTCCTTTTCGAATAAATAAATTCGGTAATGACATATAGTTATTAAAATCCATTGGGAAGATAGTGTAGGATTTACCTCCAAGGTAATTAATTTATTTATCAATTCTTAAATTACCTCTAATGACGTTGTTAAACTGACATAATTTTTTTATATACAAAACAGGCGTTTGAGATTTTAATCTAGATGGCCATTTATATTTGTCTTTAAATTCCTTTAATTATTTACAGTATATATAATAATGACAAATTACATTACTTGATTACTATTTATTAGTTTTCTTATACAATATCAATATACCTTTATATCTTCGAAAAACTTAAAATTTTATTAAACTTCATATTTTAAAGAATTATATAATCAACTGCTGTTTGAAAATAAGCTCTAACCGGAGAAGAAATGGCAATAGAAACCCTGCAGGTACCTACACATTTTAGTATTTTTTAAAAGTCAAATGCAATAACTTTAAATATTATTTTGAAGCAAGCTAACTGTAGTATAATAAAAATCAGACGTAAAAATTTTGGAGCTCATACGTGGTAGCCAGTATATGTTAACTTGTACGCACCGGTCTTCTACACATAACTGTACTATTTCCGTATGTGTGATAAAAACTAATAGTGAATCAACTCGACGACTAGCGGGAGCAACGCATTCCTGTATAGGACAGTTACTATACTCTTTGGAGCAACGATAGGGCACGGTATGAAGGAGAGCGAAGTTCCTCTCCTGCTCGCGATGTCTGCGGTAGTACCGGTCGGCTTCGCTTGCCTACCGGTACGCCCGTTTAGGAGTGTCACGTACACGGAATCAGTTGCATGCGTTTGGTATTCACCCAGCAACACGATATTACTCGGTATTATTTTTATTATTTAATTAACATGTTTGAAAATATTGGGAAAATATTGTATGACGCCTTAAGTAAAATTGAATTGGATTATAGTAGTAACGACAGACATATTAGAAGTGAGGCGTATTTATCGTAACAGATTAAACAACAGGTATCTTAAAATAGCAGACTGAAACTGCGACAAACAAACTGAAAGAACAGCTCCTGTTCCACGAGATAACGGTAATTATAAAAAAATCTAATTTTTTTAAATTTTGTCTGTGTCTATCTGTTTGTCCCGGCTAATCTCCGAAATAGACAGCTAATGTTTTAAGGAGTAACTTAGGCTACTTTTATTTTAGAAAAATAATTAGCGTTCAAATCATACAAATTATCGACAACGTGACTTTTTTCTTTGCAAAATATAAAATTAACAAAGTTACACATTGAAATTATTCTTTATTTTAAATAGTATAAAAGATACACGTTAACTTCAAATAAACGCATCGTAGTTCGTAGTAGTAAAGACGTCCTAAGAATTAACCATAGAAATGAGCAAGTATCAATTTATTTCTCTTATTATCATCGCAGCCACTCACAGAACAATTAACCTTTGTTGAAAACAATAACCACGATTAAACAAAAAATCTAAAATACTGGGAGCTCATTCCATACGTGCCGACTTGTGACGACCTGTCACTGAAAACAGTCACAGAGTCATGAGATTTGCTATCCTTTTCTATCTTGCTATATTGCCATTAGAAATTTTCTTCTCCCTTGCACGCTATGACCACAGTCTAACTACTACTAGTCAGTCATCGAAGGCTTATACACGGGGCAACCGTGCGGTGCGGTGCGGGGCGAGATGCGGGTGGAGCGCTCCCGAACGATTATCAGTCAGTCGTTCGGGAGCTATCCGGTGAAAAGCGGCTATATAACAGGAATTTAAAATTTACTAGTTGAAAAAATCTAAAATATCAATCAGTTGCACTTTTGTAAATATGGTTTTTTATATATTTATAAGTTTTTATTGTTTAGTAATAAGCCCATTAATAAAAACTAATTGTTAAAATATATTTTGATGTAATCCCAATAGGGTAGTTGAGTTACAAAGGAATAAACATTTAAGCCACTACAAGAAGGCTTTATATAATACGACTACAACGACTGAAATAAAAAGAGAAAATAGACTACTACAACTGAAATAAAAATTGACATGCTTCAAAATAAGGCCGATATTAAAATTATACACTTTAAAATATTCTTTGGCGTCTTCTTCCCGCAAAATGAAGAAATCGGCAATATTTACTTACTTCGACGATAACCTTATTGACGTAATTTTGTGACTATGCCATCTTTGTCTATTCAACCTATGTGTATGCAACTTGAAAGTTTCCACTTACATTTTAACATGTATTCAAATAAATAAATATAGTAGTGATAAATAGGTTGTTATTACTCAAAGATACGTTATAAACTGTATTCCATAGTTGACTATTTTTATAATTAATTTTTTTGTAACTCTGCCTATTATAACTTATTTCTGAACATCAATTGTCTGATTAAACGTGAAATAAAAAAAAAACGGGTTTAACTTCCCCTTGTGACAACTCTAGCAATTTTATTGTTTGTGTCGACTTTTCGATGACTGACAATATAATCTTTTTCACAATGATATTTCTTTTCATTGGTAAGTTATATATTTTTTACATATATTTTTATACGTGGTAGTGCCATGCTGCAGCTATATTAATTCTATAGTTCTAGCAAGAATGAGGCGGCTCGACCTGCGAAGGATCACGGTCTCACAGAATACCAGCGTAAAATAGCAGCTTTGTGCTGCTGTTTCGTATGCTGAGTGTAGAGAACCTGAGAACCTTTTTACTGGAAAAGAGGCATTTCATCTTAGTGCTCACGGCTGACAACGCATCTCCATTTTGATTCGTAATCGAGGATAGATGTAGATGTCTATAGCCCATAGATAGCAACCAATTACCATCAGGTGGACTGTTTGCTCACTTGTTACCCTTATCTTATAAAAAATAAGTATTTTGATAAGAAAACACTGATTTTGACAGGGAGGCGAACGAGCGGTTAGACGCAGTACGTACTCCTGTGCCCTCCGTTTCAAGCTTTCTCCGAATTAGAGCTAGTCCTG